GCAGACGGCGTTTTCCCTGCCCTCGGCCACGACCACAAACCTTTCGAGTCGGAATGGAGGTCAAACTACCGCGGTTTCCCAATAGCCGACGGACTGTGTGCAGCGCTCTGCGAAATGAGAGCTGACCTACTTGAGTTTATTACAGCCTTGGGATTTAAGCGTTGGGACAACGTGAGGTCGCCCTGTTTTTGCTGTGATGTAATTAAACATTCTCTATTCAATTTTCCGCTGTCCATCGATCTCTGCAGTTGGGCAGATAAAGGCCCACAGGTGCACGCAGGAATGGTGGCAATGTGCAGGAAGAGAATCGTTGTCCGCAGCAAAGCAGCGCTGAAGCGTCTTTTGCAGTGTTGCCGTCACTCCGGTGAATTATGGGGTTTTGGAACTTTCAAGTCATGCCCCGAGTTCGGGCTGACAGCTGGGTGGAGAATATTAGTGTCGGGGCGCGTGACAGATACGCACACGCTCGATGACATCGACGTCGGACCTTCTCAGCCCTTGGAAATTGATCTTTTTGACACTACCAACGAAGTTGGCCTCAATTTTTGTGCGCCTATCTTCAACGTGCTGGGCTTTACGATCTCGGTGCTGGCCTTAGATTATATGCACGTGTGCGATCTTGGAACATCGCAGTTTTTAGTTGGAGCTATTATTTGGGCGTTAATCGACAATTTTTTTTGCGGCAGTCGGGCTGGCACGATGATGGTGAGAAACCACGACAACATCCTCCACCTTCGCAGGCGCCTCAAAGTGTTTTATCTTGCCCACAGTGCTGTGTTCGAACGCGGGAAAAGAAACCGCATATGGAAGCTTTCGATCAACATGCTCGGACACAACGATAAACCCAGGCTGGCGGCCAAGGCCGCCGAAACCAGACACTTAATCCCTCTACTGCCCATGTTGTGTGATGAGAACCCGACGGTTTTCACTGGACAGTGGTCATTATTCCCGCATGCCTGCAGGGCCTTCTGTAAAGCCCAAGAGATTATTGAGTCCAGCCCTCGCCGTATAAGTGCAGCACAACAGGCAGAGCTTGAGAAAAACATGTTGTTCTTCCTTCAGTACTGCAAAGCTGCGGGCGGGCACCTGGCATTCAAACGCCACGTGCTTTACCACCTGACAAAGCAAAGCAGGTTGGCTGGCAATCCTCGTTGCTACTGGACATATGTGGACGAAGGAGTTAACCGCGTGCTGTCACAAGTTGCCAAGAGCGTGCATCACGGCAGCACGTTTTACGTTCGGATGCTCGAGAAACTGGCTGCTCTGTGCTAGCCTGGCATGTAAAAAGGGGGTGAAAAAAAGGGGGGTGCTTTTGCGATCCCTTCTTCGCCTCTGGCCGCCCCGCGCGGGAAGGGCGCGGAGAGCCCAAGGGGCAGAGACGAGGGGGAGAAAGGCGAGGAGGACGGAGAGGTTAAGGGAAGGAGGTTCGAGGAGCAGACTCCCCTCTCGCGTTCTCCCCTCTCCCCATCCTTACCCTGCCCGCCCGCCCCTCCCCCCCTTCGCTCGCGCGCTACTCCCTTTCCAGGGCGCAACGTTGAGATCGATCACTGCATGACGAACGGACAACACGCACCCATACCCATAGGGGGGTCGTTGGGAGGAGGACTGGCTATGGGTATGAGTGCGGGTTGTCGGACACTGGGGAACGCTCCCGTTCGAGCGGGGACCGCCATCCGACAACACGCGCGCGATCTCCGATCCCCCTATGGGTATGGGTGTGTGCTGTTGGTTCGTCATGCCATGTGCGGCGCCGGGTGTTCAGTGCGTGGAGGGGGGTGAACCCTCGAAGACCTCGGGCTAGGATCGATCACTCGAGCCCGACGCTGAAATGCTGGCGCGTCGCGGTCAAGCTCGGTCCAGGTCGAGGCCACCTAGGATGCACTTCCAGGGCAGGCCCGAGCGCCAGAGGCGCGGTGGGGAAGGCTCGAGGGTGGAAGAGGCAGGGACGTTGTGGCAAGGAAGGGTCATTCGAGTCCGAATCAGGTTCCTCGGCGCACGTTCGCGCGCCGATCTTCATCCAAAGGTGCCGAAACGTTACGATGGATAGACTATCAATTCAACGATCGATCGAGAGATCGATCGATCGCTGCATCGATCGTCTATCCATCGCAACCTTTCGGCCTTGACCTCGAAAACCGCCGATGCTAGCCCCGCCCCGCGCGAGAACGTGATGAAGATGGCGTGGCGAGGCTGGCGATCGACAGCGCGCTGCAGAGCCTCCCACCGCCGCACACACACATACAAAGACACAATGCACGCATACACACAACAACACGCATACACACACTCACACACACTCACACACACATACACACACACGCACGCACGCACGCACGCACGCACGCACAACACGCTCAACACACATCGAGGGCAACGCCGTTACGACACACGGGGGAACTAAACCAAACTCGCGAACAGACGCACTCGCGCACGCACGCACGCACGAACGTGCACACACACACACTCACTCTCCCTTGACTCCCAGTACTGGTGTTTACGGGCGCACACAAAATGTTGTGTCGCGACGCCCCAGGGCAGGTGCCGTAAAATCGGCGCCTGAGGTCACGCATGTGTTCGAGTCGGGCGCTACGGCGCTGCAGTTCGCCCCCCTCTCATGCCCTCGAACCATTTGCACGTGCTCACCCGCTCCCGATCTCACCCTCAGTGCACACAGCATTCGTTGTGAAGCTGAGGCCGACGCGTGTACACCCAATAGTATGGACTCGGATTGAAATGTGTGCCACACCTCCCTTCTTTCCCTGCCTCTCTTGTCTCCATGTGCGTGTATGTATATATATATATGATCATACACACGGAAGTGGTGATGATCTACGAGCGACGGCACAGCCGTGGCCGCCTGGACCCGAGCAGCATGTACGATTGGGACTGTGATTCCTTGCGGTTGAAATGGCATCCCTTTTGTCATTCTGTCTTGTCTCTCTCTCTCTCTCTCTCGCTCTCTCTCTCTCTCTCTCTCTCTCTCTCTCTAACTCTCTCTCTATATATATGTACTTACATATATGTATATAAACATACATGATGTATCCACTTCGTTCGGGAGAGATCTAGTTCCCCCTCGGCAAGTTAGGCGCTACGTGAATATTCACGTCTGTCCGCCGCTCGAGGAGACGACTCAGCGGCGCGGGATCACAGGCTGAAGGGCCTGCACGCCATTATGCATGGCATGCAACGAGACGAAAAGAGCGGGCGCGCGCGCCCGTTTCGGCAATCCCCTTCTCCGATTATGTGATGAATTAAATACTACCACACGGTAGCGGTTAACCTTACCCGTAGAATTATACGAATCACAACTGCGAGCCCTGAATTCCGAATTTCTCCTGCGAGCGCTCGATTCCGATATCCTGGTGTTGCAATTTTGTTTTAGAACATTGCTTCGTTCTCGAAGATGCAATTTAAAATTGCTCCTCTTGGGGACGTTGCAATTTAATTGCACCCGCAAGATGTGAGGGGAGGACACGGCAGGGATCATGTTGGTGCGCTGCGCGCCTGGCCCGATCCTTGGCGGCCCCCCGGGCAGTCCCCGGCGCGCCCCGTCTGGGCCCGTGGGGGGCGGCCCTGAGCCACGTGGATGCGCGGCCCACGGACCCAGTCTTGGGCGGTGCGTTCCGGGTCCCGCCCCCCCCCCCCGGACTGAAGCTGCCGGAGGAGAGGCGCGCGCCAGCTGGCCCCAGGCGTCGCGACACCCGCCGCCGCCGGCCCGCCGCCACCGCCCCGCCCGCCGGCGCAGCCCCCAGCCCAGCTCTGGCCAGGTAGGCACGCGCGCAGGTCAACCCCAGGGGACGGGGGGCCAGGGGCCAACGTCGCCGCCGCCGCCGCCGCCGCCGTCGCCGCCGCTGCCGCCGCCGCCGTCGCCGCCGCCGTCGTCGCTGCCGCCGTCGCCGCCGCCGCCGCCGCCGTCGTCGTCGTCGTCGTCGCCGCCGTCGTCGTCGTCGTCTTCGCCGTCGCCGTCGTCGTCGTCGTCGTCGCCGTTGCTGCCGCCGTCGTCGTCGCCGCCGCCGCCGTCGTGGTCGTCGCCCGCGGCGTGGCCCCCCCCTGACCTGCGCGGCTGGGGGGGGGGCCAGCTGGGGGACCCAGCCGGACCCCGGCGCGACCGCAGCGCCAAAACCACTGCGCCACCGCAGGCGCTGTGCGGACCCACACCAGCAGCGCGGGCGGGAGAGCTGGCACTGCGAGCGCGGGAAAAAAGAAATAAAGGAGCACGGGGGAGCAGCTGCGAATCAGGGGGGGCACAGAGCGGCGGTTGCGCCTGGCCGTCCAGTACGCAGCGTGCATCCACCCAGAGCTCTCCCTCCTCGCCCCCCTCCTGCTGCTACTTCCGCCTGCCTCCCCCCTCCTCTCCCCCTCTGCCTTCCCCTCCTCCCCTTTCCGCCCTCTCCTCTTGCCGTTCCCCCTTCCTCCCTTTTCCTTCCCTTTCTTCCGCCCTCCACCCACCCATGGGGGGCAGTGACGGCCGAGGCCCAGGCCGGGTGCTCTATGCACCCGGCGCCAGTGGCGGCCCAGTGGCGTCGGGAGAGCAGCGGGATGAGGCATGCCGGGCGCTCTATGCACCTGGCGTCGGGTGCTCTATGCGCCCGGCAGACTGGCCGCTACGGGGGGTGCCTGCCCTGCCTTTGCCTTCCTTCCCTTCCCCCTGCCCTCCCCTCCCCTTCCCCTCCGCCCCCCCTCGTGCCCCCGGCCCGCCTGACCTCCCTTTCCGCCGTGTGCATTCAAGAAGGGAGGCCTCGCACGGCAGCCCCTCGGGGCCTGCTCGGCGCGTCGCCTACCCCCCCCCCGCCCTATACGCTCAAGATGGGGCCGGCCTGCCGGACAGCCCTGCGTGCAGGGCATGACCGAGCTCGACGCTCCCGCCCTTCCCCTCCTCGGCGTGCCGCATGACCACGTCCGTGCCCACAGCAACCTTGGCCCAGCCAGTCCGACCCCGTCGCCCCAGGGCCCGCAGCGCCCTCGACACTCCGCCTCTTCGCCGCCGCGCCCACGCCATGGCGCTGCCCGCGGAGCCACAGTTCTGGACCCGATTGGGCCTCAACCCAGACAAGTCCACGGCTGCCCTCAACGGCTTCCCGCGCAAGGTCGGCAAGATCCTTGGCCAGCGTCGCGGGACCCGCGAGGCGTACCGGGAGTGCCTCGCGAAGGCTATCGTCAATATGTGGAAGGCCGACGCCATGCCGCACGACGAGCCCGGCCGCGTCGAGAGAGCCATGCAGGCGATTTGCGCCAGCAGCCTGAACGACCTCCCATTACCCCGGATCGACATGCGCACGGCGGTTACGCGCGCCAAGGACCTCCTCACCGATGGGGGCCCGCCGCGACGAGCGGAGCCGCAGCCAGCACAAGAAGGGGCACAGGCGCCGTCAGAGCGCCGCCCGCAGCGCACGCCCGCGACCGCCCGAGCCGCGGCCGCAGCCGCCGGCGCAGCCACCAGCGCAGCCCTGAGGTGGCGGCAGCTGCGGCTGCAGCCAGGCCCGGGCTCACGCCGCCGGTCTCGCCGTCACCGCAGGACCGTTCCCGCGCGCCGCCCACCGTGGCCGCGACGCCCCCGCGGCTTGGGAGTGCACCACCCGGGGACGACAAGAGCAGCGCGCCAGACACGCCACCGCTACCTGCCCCCGGTGAGCAGTCAACGCTCGTCTCGCACCTCACCGCAGCATCCCCGCGCACGAAGACCCGCCTGATCGAGACCGCGCTCGCGGCCGCCCAGCCCGGGAGCAGCGCCTCAAAGGAGTTCACGACGAAGGCGCCCCCCCCCGCGCGGTACGCCGTCGGCGCCGCGGACGGAACGCGGGGGCCCATCCGCCGCCCCGGCGGCCCACGGCGCGGCGCGGGGCGACAGCCTCACGGTCGAGGGAGGCTCCAACCCGGACATCAGCAACATAGTCGGTGGCTTCTACACCGCGTTCTCTCAGAACCACGGCAGGCCCACGTACAAAAAGGAGCATCAGGCCCAAGACTTCGACGTACTGCTCTACTTCTGGGACGATCGCGACGGCAAGCAATACTGCGGGTGGTGGCTCGGGCAACAGATCGGCGGCGACCACGTCTGGGCGTTCTGCCCAGGGCATGCCGCAGCGCCACCAGAGACGGGCTGGCAGGTCCCCTGCGACGGGCCCTTCGACCACGCTTTCGTTGTGTGTGGGCCGCAGCTTGGGCCCTCGACGACGGACCCGTACGTTTCCCAGCCAGCAGACCCTGTAGCAGCCGCACGCGTGGCCCAGGGCGTGCCAGCGCCACCCTGCAGCAAGCTCCCATCGAGCGCCACAGGGTGCAAATGGAGCACCTACAGGGTCGGGCGCCCGGCGGTCGATCCAGCGGCAGTCGTCGCGGCGCAGTCCTACCCGACCTGGACCCCGCCTCCGCGAACCACGTCATGGAGTTCTCCTTCGTGTCGCAGGAGGAGGAAGGGGACCCGCAGCTGTGGGGCTTCTACCACACGCTGGCAGCGGCGGGACTATTCGTCGCGGAGGTGCACCAGGACACCAGGTGGGAGGGGCGCGTGAATGCCTGGGGCGGGGCAGGCGCCCGCTACGCCCCGGCCGTCAAGACGGCGGGGGGGGCCACTCTCAACTGGTTCCAATCGAAAGGTGGGAGGACCGAGTGCGTGGACCAGCTCAGGCCGCAGCTGCGCCGCGCCTTCCCCCTTTTCGCCCCAGACCGGGCCACCGGCAGACCGGTGAACCGTGCCACGGTCCAGCAGGGGCGGGTCAGTGAGGAGGACGCCCGACGCCGTGAGCGCCAGGTGCGCATCGCAGGGAAGGTCCTGGCCGTCAGCGGGCAAGCGATGTTCCGCTTCGCGGCGGCAGAGAGGCAGGGAGCTACACCCGGCGTCTGGGACCTCCTGGACGACCACGTCGGCGCGCGCAACGTGCCGCCGTACCACTCCCTCCCCTGGCCGGTGGTCCTGCGCACCGGCGTCACTATCTCGATCCCAGAGGTCCTCAGGATCCACTTTCTGGATCCGGAAGAAAAGTGGATCCAAGACGAAAAGTGGATCCAGAAAAAAGGTCCAACAGAAAAGTGGATCCAGTAAAACGCGTTTTTACATAGGTATGCCATTTCTATGCATATATATGTATATGCATGTACGCTTATATGTGCATATATACACATATACCATATCAACATTATATACATATGTATGTATATGTATATGTGCATATATATACAACTACATACATGTGCGTACGTGTATATGCACATTACTTCCATGTACACACGCCCGTACGTTCCTCTCGTGTTGTTGCCGTCTCTCTCGCTCGCGCCTCCCTCGCTCTCGCTCTCCCGCCTCTCGCCCACCTCAAGGCCGCGCGCCGCGGCCGCGCGGCGGCCCCGCCACCGCGCGCGCGGGGCGGCCGCAGAGGAGGCCAGGAGGCCAGGCAGAGGAGGCCAGGAGGCCAGGAGGCCCCAGGCAGAGAGGCCAGGCCCCAGGCAGAGGAGGCCAGGAGGCCCCAGGCAGAGGAGGCTAGCTCGAGGCCAGGCAGAGGAGGCTAGCCATGAGCAAAGGTGGCAGAGGAGGCCAAGCGAGGCCAGCCTCCGAGCTCACGAGCGACCAGACAACCAAGCTGGCGCGGGTGATGCTGAAATCCGTCCTGGATCCCGAGAGTGTGTGCGCCGATGCGGACGGGACCTCGGCCGATGATGTGGTGGAGCACGTGAAACTCGTTTCAGGCATCCGCGCCGTCTTGGCGCCGCGCGACACGTGCAGCCAGTCGCAGCTGACGTCCGTCCTCGTCGCACGCGCTCGGATGAAGGAGGCCAAGTGGCAGCTGGACGACACCGCCGAGAGCTGGGCCGATCAGGTGGCCACGAAAATACCACGGGGCTGTCGCCGCTACCGCCGCTGGTCGCGGGGATGGGGAAGGATAGGGTGGGAGAGAGGGGGGGGGGAGGGAGAGAGAGAGAGAGAGAGGAGAGAAGAGAGAGAGAGAGAGAGAGAGAGAGAGAGATAGAGAGAGAGAGAGAGAGAGAGAGAGAGAGAGAGAGAGAGAGAGAGAGAGAGAGAGAGAGAGGAGAGAAGAGAGAGAGAGAGAGAGAGAGAGAGAGAGATAGAGAGAGAGAGAGAGAGAGAGAGAGAGAGAGATGAGGCTATGGGCGGAGGTGGGGGAGGGAGGGAGGGGGTGAGAAGGGGTCGGACACGATGCAATTTCTGCCAAATTTATTCCAAAATCATTCTGGAATGAATTTGGAATAAATTTGGTAGACATTGCATCTTGCAAGCCCTCTTCGCGCCTCCAGCCTCAAACATCGAACCTCCTGGGCCCGATGCAACTTCCACACGCTCAACCCCCACCCCAAGGAAGGGGGGGGCAGCGGATTCGTGCCATGCTGCGCGTGGTGAGCCAGGCAAAGATCAAGGCGCGAGACAGGGAGCCCTACGCGTGGCTGGAGGACCACTTCCCAGAGGTGGTGCAGGACGCGGCGGGGGCGGGAAGCTGGGAGGATGGAGCAGGCGAGGAGTGAGTGTAGATGCAGCGACGGGGCGACGGCGATGACGAGGACGAGGGAGGATGAGGATGACAGAGGGGGTGGTGAGGAGAGGTCGGGCCCGATGCAAGTTCGACTTACATCGCGCTCGCCTTCTCCACGCCTCCGCATCCCGCGCACCCTCCCTTTCAGGAAGCAAAGGAGAAGGCCGCGGGCGAAAACTACGACTACGAGTGGGACAACAACAAGAAGGTGGCGTACCGCCAGAAAGGCACTGCGAAGAGGCGCTCGCCGCCAGAGTACGGAGTGCCCATGAAGGGGCAACAGCCAGACGATGAGCTCGCCTTCACATGGCCAGACGAGGCGGTGTGGAAGGTGCCAGGATACACGGTGCGCGAGCACCAGGCCAACGTTTCCGACAAGAAGGGTGGCTCGAGCGGCGATCTGCACCATGTGGATACGGATCAGGGCCCCGTCGCCGTGACGAAGTGCTCGAGGCCGCCCGCTAAAGCTGGCGCCGACAGGCAAGAGTTCGTCGCCGTCTGGATCAAGAAAGAAGGCGATAAGAGGCCAGCGATGGTCGGGCAGGTGACGGTGAAGCCACATTTCGAGAAGCTCGAGGAGTTCATGATCAAGCTCGCGAAGAATTACGCAGGAGACTTCAGCCAGGAGAAGTTCGAGCTCGCTAAACAGGAGTACCTCAAGAGCTATGGCGGGTACGGCGGGCCCAAAGAGGCGGCGAAGAAAAGGCCAGGGGCGGCGGAGCCAGCGAAGCCAGTCGAGGACGAGGCAGTGAGGAAAAGGCCAGCAGCACGCGCGCCGATGCGAAAACCATCGGCACACGAACCAGAATGTGCGCCAGAGGGGGGCGACGAAGACCAGGAGGCGGAGGCGGAAGAGGAGGGGGATGAAAGCGCCGCTGAGGGCGAGGATGAGGGTGAGGATGAAGGCCCAGGCGAAGATGAGGACGACGACGGCGATGGCAACAGCCAGGCGTCGAGCCAGAGCCAGAGTGAGGAAACGGTCGCAGCCGCGACCGCGGCCAGGAAGGACACAAAGAAGGATGACCCCGAGCAGAAGCGCCCCCCAAAGAAGGACAAAACGACGAAGATGGGGGAAAACCCTGAGAAGAAAGACTCCAAGAAGCGCATGCGCAGCCCAGAGAAGAGGAGCCCGAGGAGCGCAAAGAGGAGCGCAGCCCAGCACGCCGTGAGCGATTCGGACCTCAGCGTGGGCTCGGGCTTCGGAGGCTAGGAGCGGCAGAAGAGGCAGAGGAGGCTGAGGAGCGAGGAGGAACGAGGAAGCTCGAGTGGCTCCGCGTGAGGAAGCCCGCGCGCAGGCCGCCGCCCCTCCGGCCTCGCGGGCAGGAGGCTGGATCCCACGTCCGCCGCGCGGAGAGGCAAGTCACTGGCGGGGGGGTGAGTAGGTGGAGGGGTGAGTGGAGCGGTGAGTAGGCGAGTGAGGGTGGAGGTGTGAGTAGGAGGGGTGGGAGGGTGGGGGGAAGGGGTTAGTAGGAGGGTAGATGGGGTGAGCAGGAGGGTGGAGGGTGAGTAGGAGGGGTGGAGGGGTGAGCAGGCGGGTGGAGGGTGGCAGGGGCGAAGACGAGCGCTGCGTGGGGGGGCGCATCGGCAGCCACTCTGGCTCAAGGACACCACGCATGCCGCGCGAGCAGCCCGCCGTCAGGTTTGCAGATATCAGGAAGTACGCCGTGATAGTGCCGATGAGTCAGGTCAAGGCCACGCCGCCGAGGCGCCGTCGTTCTGCCAGAAGCAGCTCTGGCAGCACGAGCGGCCAAAGCATTGCGAGCAGCCCCCATGCGGCCAATAGCCCATCAGAGCTCACCCCCGCCACCCGCAAGAGCTTCGAAGATGTCGAGGAGTGGATGCTTGGCAGCATCGATCTGGGAGGAGGCCGCCTGTCGACCGAGGAGGAGGCGGCTGAGGCTGAGGAGAAGAATGAGGCGAAGGAGGTTGAGGCTGAGGAGCAGAAGGAGGCGAAGGAGGGTGAGGCTGAGGACGTGGATGTGGTTGGGGATGCGGCTGAGGAAGCGAAGGCGGCTGGAGAGGGTGAGGAGGAGAAGAAGGTTGATGACGATAAGGCCAAGGAGGAGGCGGCGAAGAAGGCTGCAAGCGAGTCGGAGGACGAGCAGCTCCAGGACATCGCTGAGCAGGTTAAGAAGGCAAAGGCGGCCAGCATGGCGACGCTGAAGAAAGAGAAGGACCGATCGCACCACCTTCAACGCTCTCTCGCCAACCCATCTTGCCATCCCCCATCCGTCCTTGCCGCACCGCCCCGAGGAGCGCATCGCGGCTCGCATCGCGGCTGATGGTGCAGCAGAAGAAGAGGGCTCGAAGGACTGCCCCCCCCCACCCGCGATGCAATTTCTACCAAATTTATTCCGGATTTATTCGAGAATAAATTTGGAATAAATGTGGTAGAAATGTTGATCGGACGTCTGTGCAGTTTCAGAGTGTATGTGTGTGCGTGCGTGCTTGATGTACGTGTGTTGTATGATGATAGGCGGAATACTAAAAGAAAATAGCACGCGCGCGCAATATTATATATATATATATATAGCAAACGAGAAAACACAACACCACACACAATACAAAACAAAACCGTACAGGAGGCAGCGCAGCCGAAGGAGAAGAGCCGCAAAGCAGAGGAGGAGGCGCAGAAGAGGGTGAGGCGGCAACCTGATGAGGACGAGGCGGCACGTCTGAAGAAGGCGAGGGGCAACTCGAGATCGTCCTCACCCCAAGGTGCGAAGCCTGCGTGGGCTGGCGTGCACTGCGGAGACGGCGAGTCCCCCGCCCCGACATCGGTGGTATCGAGCGGCTCCTCGGGAATAGCCCCAATCGGGGGTCACCGTTCGATGGGCATCACGGCCACTTCTCGCGAGCCGATTGGAACATCCAACCATATGTTCTCGAACGCGTTCCCCGACAGCAAGGAGTGTCTGATATCGGCGATCGACTGCGAGATCAGAGCCATCAACGACGAGATGGCATGCCATCCATGCCCCGACGAGCGCACGATGGAGCATGCGAACATCAGGCTGGGACAGTTCTTTCAGTCTGGGCTCGTACAGAAGATGGCAGCGTTGAAGAAAGCAGATCCCAGCTTCAACTACGAGGATGAGGAAACGCTCCCAGAAGAAGGTGAAGATGCGGACGACGGCCTCAGTAAGAAAGACAAGGAGGAGAAGAAATTCTATGAGGAGATGGAAAAGAACAACTTCATGTTCACCACGGAGACGAGATCGGGAAACAAAGTCGGTGGGCGTTGGAGCAAGGCGCTAGCGGCGTCCGAGAAGCTGAGGAGGGACTACGCGGAGCAGAAGGGATGGCCAGCCCAGCGGACGTTCAGAGCGAACTGGCTCAAGCTCGAGAAGGCGGCTTGGGAGAAGACGGTGGCGTACGTGAAAAAGGAGACGCATGAGAAGGAGGATAAGAAAAAGGGCGAATACGTCACCCTGATGAGGCTGGCGTGGCTCAAGGGTGGCGGCACCGCGGGCCTCCGCCTGGCGCTGAAGCACGCGTCGAACGCGATGCTGCTGGGCGGGTACTGGGTCCGGTGGGACGACATGTCCGAATCAGTGGAGTTCTTGAACATCAAGCACCAGCTAATCGAGACTTTCAAGAAGAGCTGGTCGAAGCATAAATCGTGGGTGGAGCAGAGGACTGCTATCGAAGGCCCAGCACCGTCACGTGCAATCGCGGGCGGTGTCAACCAGCTCCGCGATGAGGAGAAGAATGCCGACAAGGAGAACAAGGACAAGGTGGGTGACAAGGGTACGTCCATGAAGGAGGAGTCTAAAGAGGACAAGAAAGACAAGACGGCAAAGAAAGACAAGAAGCACAAGACAGGAAAAAATGAGGTTGAGGAGGAGACAGCCTCGGGTGATGGCAAGGCGCACAAGAAAGACAAGAAGGCTACGGACGGCAAGGATGCCAATAACGACACAAAGGACAAAGACGGCAAGAAAGACAAAAAGGACAAATACGACAAGAAAGATAAACATGACAAAGACGAGAAGAACGACAAAAAGAACAAAGGCGATAAGAAAGACAATAAGGATAAATACGACAAAGATAAGAAGAAGGCGCCAGAATTCCTCGTCAAGTTCAGGTCGCTGAAGCAGAACTACGACTGGGCAATCAGCCAGCATGCCAAGCTCGACGGGCTCATCAAGTCGAAGGACCAGTCATGGAAGATCGTCGGCAAGCTTCGTGAGCCCATGGACCTTGCGATGCAGGCCGTGAACGCCAAGTGTCAAGAGCACGGCCTCCTGTCGATGATGGCCCTTGCGGAAGCGCAGCACAAGAAGCAGGTGCACCGACGACGACGACGCCGACGACGACGCCGACGACGATGGCGATGACGATGACGATCACGACGACGACGACGACGGCGACGACGCCGACGACAGGTGGGTGATAAAGAGTTCGAGAACGCCGTTCAGAAGGCGAACGCTACGCTGATTTAGAACGTCACTCAGCTGGCCTCAGAGGTGAGGATCTTGATAAACCAGAAGCTTGCGAGGGATGAGGAGGATGCGAGGCAGAGGGCAGCGGAGAACGGAGACAGCGCGAAGAAGGGCACGAGCAGCAGGAAGAGGAAGGATGCGAAGGAAGAGGCGGCCGCGAAGCGCAAGAAAGGCGAGAAGGAGGGTGCGTCGTCTGAGTCGGACTGAGGGCTGCAGCGAGGCATGCAAGAGGAGGCGGAGGAGGACCAGAGGAGGCCGCTGCATGCAGCAGCTGTTCTGAGCGTGGGCCGCCGAGTGAGCGGCGTGCTCGAGGGCCAGCAAGCCACCACCCCTAGACCCATGGATCCATTTTCTGGGCCCCACCTCCTGGATCCACTTTGTTGTGGATCCAGATTTTCTTGGATCCACTTCTCCCTGGATCCACTTCTCCCTGGATCCACTTTTTTCCTGGATCCACGGTTCCCTGGATCCACTTTTTCCTGGATCCACTTTCCCTGGGACAACGAACTGCAAAGTGGATCCAAGTGGCGGGGCTCGGGAAGTTGATCCAGAATCTGAGGAGCGGGCCTGGAGGGCGCGAGAAAAACACAGCGATCATTTCGGAAGTTTCTGAGATTTCTGGAGTTTCTGGAAATTTTCAAAAATTTCCAGAAATTCGAAGGTTTTTTCAAAAATTTCTGGATTTCCCAGGAATTTCAGGATTTTTTATTTTTTCCCAAAAATTTCAAGATTTTCCCGGAAATGTCCGGGAATTCCGGGAGGCGAACGCACAAGTATAAAGTAGAAAAGACGTAGAAAGTATAAAGTATAAAAGATGTAGAAAAGACGCCCGGGCATATATATATATATATGAAAAGTACACAACCACCAGACTTTATACCAGGAGAAATTTGGTATAAATTTGGTATAAATGATTTGGGGTGGCGGAAGCCGGGAGGCCGAACCAGATTTTCCGGTGCGCACACTGTGCGGCGCAAGATTTCTCCGCGCCGTCATGGGGGCGGAGGTCTAATCCTGGATCCACGTTTCGTGGATCCAGGATCCACTTGATTTGTGGATCCACTTTTCGTGGATCCACTTTTCGTGGGTTTGGAGGGGGGTCGGCGAGGCTCCAGCTTGGCCCCGAGCCCGCCCGTGCGCCTTGCAAGTAGGCATGCGATCTGAGGGAGCGCCCACTAAGTGGACGCGAGCGCCATGCCGAACGTGACAAGGCGATCGATCGGGCGAGCATGCGCGAGAATGGAGCACGCAGCATCAGTGCGCGCATCAGATACAGTCTGTGTGCAGCTGTTTCAGGTCAAGCTGAGATGGGGAAGCGTCGCACCAACGTTCAGTATGTGTTCGGGAAAGATGGCGCGCGCAAGCGCGCGGCGGGGTCTGCTGCGTTTGACATGCTGTTGACATTGTATGGGTCATGCAAGAAAATCTCGTCGAAAGATTTTTGTGTTCTCTGCTTCTACCTGCGAAAATGCGGGATTGCTGGGGGGCAGTGGGGCACATTTGCGATGCCACCAGACAAGCAGACGGGCAAATACAAGCAACGGATGGACAGACATCTGCCAGGCCCTGGGCCTCTGTACACAGCGAAGTTGCCTGCTACTGTGAGGAGGAACGCGCGCGTGAGGTCAAGGGACATTGTGTTTCGAGAAGTGTTTCGGACTGTCAGTGATGAGGTGAATTCATCTCCCGACACACAGGCAGTGTTGGCGGACGGGCCGTGCGATGATCCCAATAGTGCGCTGTCAGTGCCGTGCTATAGGGAACA